CCCCAAACTCAGACCAAACTCTGATCATATGGCCAAACCAGGCAGATCTGATCAAATACAAAGAAATATTGTGTTATTACGTTGCCTATTTCTCGCCTAAAATATTTTCAGAGACATATTTCAGTTTGGCTGTAATTTGAGATCATTTTGTTCCAGCTGGCTGCCATGTTGTTCCCTGTGTCAAAACTGCCAAGCTAACATTATGTCACTCACCAGCTGAAGGGTTTACTGGTCTCTTGCAGTGCAGTGCATTCTGGCAGTTGTAGGTTTTCAACCTCTTAAGCAAAAGCGAATGCCAGAGCTCTCACCCTCTGTTTTCTCTGGTCATGTAGCACCAATTTCAAACATATTTGCATCTTTCTGCTGCATAGACAGCCCAGTTTTGTAAAAAGAACCATCTTTCTAGCAGTAAAATGCTTCTTAAAAACAGTTTTCATAGAATGTAAAGAAAATTAACAACAAACAGTGAGGCTATTATCAGTGAAACAAAAGTGTGCTGGATTACATCTATTCATTGATCTCCATAGGCAGTCTCAATCTAAGGCAGGAATGGCGGACTCCGCCACTACTACCAATAAATATTACAACAACTAGAGAATTCCTATTGCTGAATGTAAATACAATGAATAGCTGTTGCCAAAAAAAATAAAAAAATAAAAAAGGAATATCTGATGGTGTTTGATTTTATGAAATTCCCAAGTATTATATGTTTTAAAGTGTTCATGTCTACATTGTTATATTGCAACCCGGTCTCACTTCGAAGTCGTTGAAATCTGGTGCTTGAGAACTGACTTGCGACGTCAGACACCGACAAAAAATGGCGTTCTTTAACATCAGCATGATACGCTGCCGGTCACCGTTATGTTTCAATGGTGCTCAGCAGCATCAGGGGGAAATGTGGCCGGACATGAATGAAAGTTAAGGCGGCGAAAGTCCAAGTGGGGCAGGTGGGAGGTGTAGTGGATGGGTCCAACAACTGCCGACTTTCACCCAAGATGATAAAGCCAAACCCTGTTCTTTTTTCTTAAACCCAACCACGTGCTTTTGTTACCTAAACAAAAAAATGTCCATATGCGTTGTTGTACTGACGTAATGCATTTATTCTGAAAGAGACTCTACATAAACAGTACATTCCAGTGAAATCAGAAGTGTATTTTGAAAGAAGACAATGCATGTAACAGGCAGAAGTTGACACAGCGTCCCAGAACGTCAAAAATCAAAGCACCCAGGGTACATTGCACGTTGTATCAAGACGTGGCAAATCCATGATCAGACGTCGATATGTGACGAGGTCAGAGTGAGAATGTGTTAAATTGTTGTGTGTAAATTGTTACATGCTGGAACACATACCGCCTTTTGATGTTAGAAAATATCCTGTGCAATTCAGTGTGTGATGTCTGTTGTTTTAATGTTATGTTGATGCTAATTTTTGTGGCTTTGTTTTGTGATGTAACTGTTCACTGTTTTAATTGCCGTTTCTAACATAGTACCATTAATGCTGTCTACAGTGATCATGTAAATGTTCTTATAAATACACATCAGGCAACTTGCAACCCAGGTAGCAGAGCTCAGTATCTATTCTAAGCATCAGTGACAATACAGAAGAAAGACATAGTTAAATGTGCAGTGAGGTGAACTGCTCTCTCCGTATAGCAGGGTGTCTCACTTGTCTCTGCATGTCCCTGTGGGCTGCGATGTCCGCCCACATGTTTCCATACATTCACTTTAATTGACAAGACAACAGATGCTCTGCTTAGTATCCACTGTCGGCCCTCGCTAAGTAATGTGATGAATGTTTCACCTTTTTTTAACAGATCTGCCAACATCTGAATCACCGCAGCAGCACAAGACGCAGCGGTCACCACACAGATTGCCGTCCAAGTGGATTTATTTGATGTAATCTCAGCTGATTCATAGGGAAAACCATGTGCCAAGACGCTGCGCTGGACCAGCTTTTCAAATTTCCCCTAATAAATTTCTTAGAGAACTCTGGGAAATGGCTCTGCCGTATATCTTAACCTCTAGCCTACAGATTCATCCACCATGATAGACTCTGCCCCCAAATACTTAAACAATCTTATATTTGCTTTAATATCCATTAATGTAAAACACTTAGAGACACTGTTAATGATGCTGACTATAAATAACTGTAATAACTGCTGCAGTGATCAGAATGATTGGTGACTGTCACTCTAATTATGTGATTAAGTAATGATACATGAGCTCGTGGCAAATTGTTTTCTTATTTTATTGCTTGAATTAGTTCACAACAACTTGTTCAATTGATGGCAGCATGTAGAAGTATGAACTAATTAGTGGATAATTAATTTATTGCATTGCTCATCAGTTATGTTTGTACTCATCAGAGAGTGAGAAATGAGAAGGTGAGCTGGTAACTTACATCCCTGACTAACTTCTAATGTGTAAAGTTTGAACCTTTAAAGTTTTCTTTAATGTCCCAAAAGTCATTGTTTTGTAAACGATATTAATAATCATCAGTTGCAGGTCATATGTGTTGTCCAGTGGTCTAGGATGAACTGTTATCAGTTTGTAATAGTGTGTGTGACCTTGATTTGTACAACACATGGAAATGAAATGTGATGTTTCACGCTGTAGTTTGTTCCATTACTAGGTTATTAGCAGATGTGTTGAAACCTTCCATTTCAACACCATTGTGGTAAACGTGTGGTTAGGTTTTAGCAATAAATTCTCTAGGTTATGGTTGGGAAGACATCATGTTTTGGCTTAAAATGCCCAGTTTTGAGGACAATCTCTGCTGGAAACACAGGTTTGTTGGTCTTCATCACTGGACTGCTCCTTAGCAGCTGTTAGGTGTCACGCCATCCACCGCTACCTCTATCTCCCGTTGACAAAGGCAACTCAGACCACATCACTTTGGAAACGTTGATATGATATGTATGAAATGTAATTATAACATATTCATGGTTTGCAGAAACGTACAATGCCACTGGTGACCGGGTTGCATGTTCCTTCATTACCATGAACACACATACACTGCCCTGCTGCTGTTATGCTCCAGGGCACCAAATATCTTTTAATCTGCAGCTGAAAACAGTTCTATACTCCTATCTGAGGTCCCGTTTATACGTCAGCAATTTAAACTGAAATCGGTAAATTTTAACGCAACATTTTGAAAATGAGTTCCAGAGTGCAATTTTTTGGAAACAGTACCGTCTCTGTTGTCATGTACACTTGCAATATGCAGCTCCCCTGAAAACCGAGACTTTTTGCACATGCACATTGCGGTTACAGTCACTAGGCGTGCGCCAGAAAGTTGACCATCACAACAACAATGGCGGACTCCCAAGCTCTGCTTGTGCTGCTCACCCTATTGAACTTATCAACGCTTCTCCAGCAAAGTGTAGATTTACTGTAGGAACTCCACCTCGTCGTCCGTCCAGACAAACGTTTGTGTGGTTGCCATTTTGTTTATAGATCACCGCTCTGTAGAAGGAAGCGCATGTGCACAGGTGCATGCTGTTTCATTGCGAAGTCACCAACTACTGGCCTGGCATGTACACTGTAGCGTTTTTGGTCATTTTCACAGATGTGTGTGCACAGCAATTGTTATCAAAACGTTGTCGTCTAAACACGGAACTTTATTCAAAATGAAAATGAGAAACAATTCCGTTTTCAGCGGATCGTTTTCGTGTAAACAGGGCCTGAGTACCTTTAAAAAACTTTTCCTCGACTGTGAGAATCACTGTAAATGCTTCTGTCATTGAGTAATGGAAGTTTCAACACACTGATATAAAAGTATTTCTTTTAAATCTTTACCTGAATTTTATTTTATTTATTTATTTAGAAAAAAGATACTGCACGTGGCTAAAACTGGGGAGGTATTAGCTGGAAAACATTATATCATGAAGCCTCACATCATCCAGATTCAAAGCAGATAACAACAGCAAACGTTTTACATGTTTTTCTAATGTTTTGTCCAGGCAATTTTCCAAAAAAGAGGATAAAACAATGCAGTGAAAATCAATGCAGACAGAAATTTGTATGTGGGAGCTCACTGTATATAAAAACATATATAACTGTATATGAAAACCTAAATCCATAAAAGAAAAATACTCAGTCACTGGCTACTGTTTGGCTATAAGCCCTGGAAATGTGAGGGATGCATCTTCCTTCAACATAGGCCCTTGTTGCTGAGACCATAGCAACAGCATTGGCAGCTCCTATTGGCTCAAGTGAGGTGTCAATGAAAAGATCAGAAGTCCACCGGTCAGTTTGTTTATATGCAAGACAGAGAAATTATGGATAATATGTAAAGAAATATGAATGTTTAAAACAATGCAATGATAGTTTGTGGATATCTATGGATGTAATAATGTGTTTAGACTAAATATTTTTGCTATTGTAGATAATGTGGACCACTGGGAGTGAGTGAGAACTGTGCCAGCAGTGTTTCTGTCCAGATAATATCAATCTGTGGACTAAAATTATGCTTCATAGTTTTTTGTCAGACAGAAGCATTTATTGAACCTACTGTGCTAGCTTTATCCTGAAATGGCTTGCATCAATCGATCCACGAGGAGCTTGCAAACGATAGGTGGTATGAGTAAACCACTTAAACAACAGCAAATACAGCAGTTTTCTACGTATCATTATCATCAAATAAAACCTTATGAAGACCCGCGGACAGGCTGTTGGATTTCTACGAGGTATGCACTTACAGTTTTACCATGCAGTTGGCAAATGAAACCGACTTTTTAGTTGTGTTTACCTTTCTCCCCCCCTTGCGAGTAGTTTAGTTGAAAAAATGTGATGAAACTTGAGTTTTGTCTGACTGCTTATTTTGCTCGACCTGCCGTCCTCACAAAGATTCTGGTAATGCAGTAAAAAGTTCAGCCCTGATGCCAAAAATAAAGAAAATAACACACCCCGGATTCATTTTTATTAAATTGTTACTGAGGTAAGAATAATTTTATTGAAGCCTCTTTGAAGACAACTCAATTATTCATCTCTATTGGCAGAACTTTATGGAGATTCATTCAGATTGTTTTATTTTATTTTTACACAGAGGCCAGCATGTGGTGAGTGGATTCATGAGGATGTTTGCTGTCTCGGCTGTGCCGCTGATTGTCAGGATGGCTTTTGCTAATCCATACATCACAGTGGGACACGAATATGGCTGCTAGCATCAGGAGAGGCGAAGTCGGTCTCCCACCGTCTCTGAAATGAGAGATGCAAAGTGATGTCTCAAAATGAAAAGACAAATTGTTGGCTCCTTAGCAGGAGCTGGTAGAAAAGCCTGTTAAACAAAACAACAACTATACAGATAACAGAGGGAGCAGACGTGATGTTTATCAAGGACGGTGTCATGACTGGAGAGCTTTCAGATGTCTGCCAGAAGCGCATTATTTGGATGTTTTGTATGTGTGTGCTGATCTGCAATGTGTGTGAGGAGGCGGTGACAGAGAGAAAACAGGCCTGCAGTTAATTTTTGGTAATTAATTTTAATTACCAAGCAGACAGGCGTAGTTCTGATAGCAGATGGAGGAGTCTGGTGGCCCGACATGGCGCGATTCACTCCAGTGACTCGCCTGACTCCTCCACTTCCTCTGTCAACACCTCCTCCTCCTTCCTCTCTCCCGTCAACCTGCGGGGTCACGGGGTCGCGGTCGGAGGAGACAGGCGTGAAACGTAAGACGACGCCGTTATACTTTGGGCGAGGACTCCTCTCCTCTATGATGTGAAGATGTAATCAACCCCTGACAGCTGCTCAGAAAAAAGACAAACAGTGGGTTCTTAAATCTTCATTAGTCAACGGTAAATGAGGTTTGTTTTACAATACAACACACACACACACACACACACACACACACACAGCGGCAAAAACACATGCGCTCACAAACTGGCCGTGTGCATATCCATTACACCTCAACTGAGAACCATAGTAATGGTGTCTATTGATTTCCTTTCTCTCCTCGACTAGTCAAGCATGTAGAGTTTGGATGCTGGGTAATGAAATTACCTTCACTCTGGAGGATGTCAGGAAAATGTTACAGCTGGAGAGAGGCCCCTCAGTGAGCGCGTGCAGTAAACACAGCACCTGTTTGCATCGCCTTAATTCACAGCCAATGGCGGAGCTTCCTGTCTCAATCAACTCTTTTTTCTCTCCCTGCTCCCATCAGGGCAGTAATTCATTTATTATTCATCTCATCAGTAGCACTAAATGATGTAAATGACCTTCTCTGAACTGTATGGGAGTCCATTTGGACACTGTCAAACACCATTAGACATTCAGCGCCCGGCTGCTCGAGAGGGTCAACTCTCTTAGCTCAACACTGACAGATAAAGCGTGACTGGGCTTTGTGCTCATGAATGGAATAGGGGAGCCCGTGCCCACACAGGTGCCTTTTAAGCATTATTAAAACTTTTGGATGTGATTGTTAATGGAAAGACGGGCGCAAGAATGGCGTGAGTCAGAACTGAACCCGTGACACACATGTACACAGTTATGCCCGGAACTTTTAAGTCAACAGGAATTGTGAATGTGTGTGTTGTGTTTGCTCCCCACTGAGCTCGCCGCTCTGAGTCAGTAAACACAATGCCGCCTTTAATTAGCTCTGCGGTTCTAATTGATTAAAATTCCCCGCAGCGCAATTATACGATTTCATAGACATGCTTTCTTTTTTCTTTCTCTCTGTCTTTTGACTTTCTGCCTCGCTGCGTTTTCTTGTTTTCCTGCCATCTCTCTGTCTGATTGCAGCATTATTTATACCTGGCCTGATTAGATGGTCAGGGAGGAAACATGTTGATCGTGGTCCTGGTGAATGGTGAAAGGCCACCTGTCTGTTTGTGTGTGTCAACCTGCGGCTGACAGTGAAACTGGTTTCGGGATGCCTTTCACACATGCAGTCAGAAAAATTAAAGGAACAAACTGTCCAAATGGTTCAAGGTGAAAATTATTGATTCAGTGCTTTTACATTATTTAACATTTGTATCATTACTAAGTACAAACACAGATTCAAAAAGGAAAGCTGAAGACAGTGGTATGAGCACAGGATAAAAGTTTGCAAAACAGATTATTCATAAAAAAATCTCACACCACCAATGCAGTACAATTCACTCCTCTGCTCTCCATCTCCATCCATAGTAGAGCAGGTGAAGAGATGACTCCACCACTCTGTCTCAACTTCCCTGGTTCCGTTTCGCCCTCCTCCCTTCAGCTGACACCAGACCGCCATCAGATTCCACCCCCCACCTGCCTGCTACCCTAATTTCTCCCAGCATTTCCCCCACATTTCTTCCTTCCCTGTCCCTAAAACCTCCTCATCCCTCCATCCCTCAACCCTCATGCCCATCATCCATTATACATAACAAACTAATTGCAATCTATAACTGTATTGACGTGGTCCTTGTTAGTGAAATATTGTTAGCGAGGTGAACCATTCGGGGAATACGATCCATTCACTTGTGACAGAGACAAACACGAGCACCTTAAGTGCAGATGACCAAAAAACATGAGAAGGGGAGTTAATGCTGATGGAGTTTTTTTTTTTGAGGAAACCCTATCACCAGAAATAATGCAAAGCACTGATATGTTACATTTGTTTATTTTGTTGCATTGTCGAAGAAACTTTACTTTCCCACAGACGCTGTGGTTAAAGTGTCATTAAGTTCAGGCACAAAAACCACTTGGATAAGGTTGGGACAATATTATATTTTGGCTTCAAATACCCATGTTTGGTGCCATTAAAGCAGCTGGAAAAGCAGGGACAACTAGGTTAAAACCACCTGGCTTCGGTGCCACAAAGACCGCTGGAAACGCCACAAAAAGTTACCAAAAAACAACCAGTTTTGTTGGTCTCAAACATTGGCTTGCAGCTTGGCAGCTATCTCCCAGGTGTCATGCCATCCACCATCCCCTCCACCTCCTGATAACAAAGTCAGCGAGAGGCGGGGTTCACCCTGGACAGGTCGCCTATCACAGGTCTAACACAGAGACAGACAACCATTCACACTCACATTCACATCTACGGTCAATTTAGAATCACAGTTAACCTGCATGTCTTTGGACTGTGGGAGGAAGCTGGAGCACCTGAAGAAAACCCACGCTGACACGGGGAGAACTCTGCACAGAAGGGCTCCCCCACCCTAAGGTTCAAACCCCTCACCCTGGGTTTGAACCAGGCAACAATGCAATGAAATTTTAGTTAACGGACAAAATGAATCCCATTATGACCCCAGGTTATGACAGATTAGTTGTGAAGAAACATGCTTAATCTTCTCACTAAGTGGTGCATTATATCTCTGTTTAAGGCAGTGAAAGCCTCTCTGCCCCCCGCCCCCTGAAGCTGTCCATGGTGCTGACATGCATTTTATGAGAGATAAAATCAATACATTGAAATGGAATTGCCCCAATTAGTGGATTTGTTAGCTGGGGCAAAGTAAATCTGTGCAAATTTCCATGTCTCTGTGACCAGTGAATTCGCTCCATATACCCAGTAGCAAGTCATCTTGACTGTCATGTTGACCTTTGAGGGAACGGAGAATCCAAAATTGGAGAAGCTATTATAGCTTATAGCTGTGTTGCACCATCCACTGTTATTTAACCTTCTGTGTCGCAGTCCACAAAAAGAGAAATGGTTTTCAGACAGACAGTCATGAGGAGTCTCAAATATATTTTGAATAAACTATGGATACGTTCAGAGTAGTGTGGACCCAGAAATCCAGTTTTCCCAATCAGCTCTGGGCCACTCTCATTGTGTGGTCCTAAATCTGATCCATATCTGATCACTGGCAATCCAACTGCTCTGAGAAGTCGTATTGGAATTCTGTGTTTCCCCCTTATATCCATGGTTTTTCCTTGTCATACTTCAATGTGCAGGCGCAGATCACTACAAATAAAGTTTTGGAGCAGTCAGATGAAACTACAGACAGCTGCCGTGGCCACAGCCGTACTGTTGCTGTGGTCGGCTGCCCCAGTCTCCAGCCAATAGAGTCTCATTGCCAGATGCTTTCTGAGGCACCAACAGAGATGTAGCCTTGGACATCGAGTTTCCTCCTTGAAATCCTTCCCATTGCCGCCCCGACCCTCCTGACTCCTCTCCCGCACCCATACGTCGCTTCCCACAAAGCAAATCCTTCTTCTTCTCACCTTCATACTATTGTTCCGATGGCCCATAATCCCAAAGACTCAAAAGTCAGAAAAATGTCCAACTGGATGGGAAGCCCGTTTGTATGACAACCTGTGATCCCAAAAACATATGGCCATTAGTCTGAAAATGCATTAGGCCCAGATCACACAGAAGAGCGCCACACTGCCTTTTTTTTTAATTGAATGCCACTAGTAAAAAAAAACCTTGCCTTTTTATTGTTGCCAGGCAACCGTGGATTCACCTCGTTATTCAAACCTTCCCATGTAATCAATCTGCCATTTATCTATTTCACAGTGATTAGTATAGTTCCTAAAATGTTGAGGCAGAGGGTACTTGCTGTAGCTCTGATTGAGGGTGAGAGGCTGTCAGTATGTAGTTTGGGTACAGGAAACTGGAGAAGTGTGTGGGTACATGTGACCCAAAAAAAAAAAAAAGAGGGTGGGTCATGGGGAGTACCACCACTTGGTCCAGGAGCTTCGCCTCCATGGTGGCTGCTTCCAGACATATTTTAAGACGACTAGGGGGCAGTTTGACAACCTGCTGTCCATCGTCGAGCTGTATAGCACTGGGTATCCAGCAACCGCTACCACCAGTTTCTCCCCTACTGTTTACCATCTGTAAACAGAAGGCCTGCCTCTCAAATCATCCAACTGGACAATGACGAAAGAAGAGATGATATGGCGCGTTTTTCTGCGTTCTGAGTTCCAGTACAAACGTCAGGCGCATCACGATGTAAAAACAGCGAGCAAAAAGCTTCATTCTCATTAAAAACAATTACAAAAAGGCACCTACATCTGCTAAAACACTTTCTGTGTGATCAGGGCCTTACACACTCTGACAAACAGAAGCACATGGCTAATTATTATGCAGAATCATGAGGACCGTATAATGTAATTCTGCACAATAACTAGGCATGTGCTTCTGTCTGGGAGTGCCATTGGAGAAACGGCCCCTTGCAATAATGGCCAATCCCCTCCTAATGATGAATTCTCATCTGACCTCTGCAACAATTTATTCAAGAGATGATCGTTTGTGCCACTATGTCATTATTTTTTTGCCCAAATGCTTGTGTCTGGCACATGTGATTGTTGTTGTTCCAACATGCATTGGTTGCATGTGAGGTATTTCAGGGCGGAGATCTGTTCACACTGGTGTTATATATAGTGCCTTTTGATGTAAATGTAGCCTAAGTGAACTTGTCCCATTTTCTCCCACCATCAGTTTATTGGATGAAATTATAGATAAAGAGGAAAATTCCCAGTGGAGCAAATGACACAGTGCAGAGAAAACTGAAAGAAACCAGCACCAGCATGTCGCTTCATCACCGAGGACTGAACTTAAATATTTTGCCAGGACGCACAGATGAATTTCAGTTGCCACTTTGTAGTGTGACCAGACCTTTACTCTGTCTGATGTATCTGTTTGTACAAGTTGTAGTGGTGAAAAGAAGAAGAAGAAGTCAGAGCCTCCACTGACTGACACATGCAGCCACTAGAAGTTGTAAGATCAGAGTTTCCTGTGAGCAGTGTCACTGCTTTGTACATTGACTGCAGGCTGCCGGAGCAAAAATAAGACAAATCAACAAAGCACTTGGGCGACGTTTGATTCCAGCCTGTATGAACCCTTTGTGTGTGTGTGTGTGTGTAATCATGTGTGTTAAACAGCCACCTCATCATGATTCTCTGAGGTATATGCACGTGCCCGGCAGCGCGGCAGCTCGCTGGCCTGGCATTATTGGGAGGGAAAAGGCCCATGATGAGAAGCCATTTCACTCCATTGAAATAACACTCTGGCAAATTACTCTTTGAACTTGACTACAGGCTTAAGAGCCTCATCACAGAGTCATTGCAGCCAGAATGGCAGAGTAGCAATAAAGCATCCTCACACACATCGAGACAGCTCATGAATAACAATGAGGAGCAGGACACAATCAGGGTGACA